AACGAAACGATTAAATTTCCGAAATACGTCGAGGATCGTGGATCGTTGTTGGCTTTTCATTTCGTGTGTCAAATTTCGTTCGAAATGACGAGTGACGGATCGAGAACAGGTGGGGGGGGGGACGTGATTTTGATATAAAATATCAAATTTCGCGTAATGCTGGTAACAAAGTGCGTAGAGTAGTAACGGATTGGAATGAAATTCTCACCGGTTTTGTTTGACGTGCAGTAGGCGTCGCTAAATTGTGAGAACTGTTGCTATTCGGTACATTAGTAGGAGTGCCGGTGTTATTGTTGTTACTGTTGTTGACGTTGTTGCTTCCTATCCCATGGAATCCACTCGACACTTCATCGATGCTCGGTGTCACTGGCGGCCGCGAGGGTGGAGGCTTGCACGGTGGAACAGCTTGTGGCTCCGACACGCGACCATTGTTTGTCCCGTGATTCGGCGATCTTCACATACACATCATCGTACATTCGGTTTTAATGATAATGCTAACGATTCCGGCTAAATCCGAATCCGTTGGAAACGTCAAGAGGGAACGCCATCCCGTTTGTCAGAGGCACTTTCTGTGCTGTGGTGGAACGTCGATATCGCGACAGAACCTCTCGCCCTCTCTCGACACGCGACAAATTACATAATTATCCTGTCATCGCGCCGTCATTATTTTTTATCGCTTTTTTTTTAGGATTGCTTCGTCGTTTCAATTATTTCTGACAAGTTTGCGACTTGCATCAGTCCCCTGGTTTTTTCACATTCCGTAAAGTGAATACGAAACGTAATCTCGTTGCGGAATGAAACGGTTATTCGTTCAAATTTTCACGGTTTCTACTTTGAATGAAATCGTGACAATCGGTGGCTCGACAATCGTCGCCCAATTGTATCAATTTACCTTTGTAAAGCATGCTTGTCACTTCTTGATCAAAACTTGTTTTCAAATAACAAATGAAAGGACGAAACGAATCGAGTTTTAACCAAGTGGACGAAAATATTTTTCCAAAGCTTCGCTTCTTTCACAAACGCTTTCCCCTCTAAAGTGGAAAATACGTTGTACCATGTAACTCGCTGTTTCAAAGAATCGTTTATAAAAGATTAAGGAGGAGATTAACATTTTTATGCGGCGTAGAGATTCCGCGGACGAGCGATAAAGGCGATAAATCACGCTTAAAAGCCTTTGACAAAATTTCCATCGTACCGTACCGTACCGTAAATCGAGCATCGAAATAATGGGATTTAGGAGAGTAGACGCAACAATAACACCAAGACGAGTACGCTTAATGGGAATAGCTGCATCGATATCACCCATTGCCCGTTATCGTTCTAGATTACCGTAATTGCATTCGACCCGTGCAATTGTTAGCAACGAACACCGTAACAAGATCCGGCCCCGATATCGTACGGGCCACCCAAAAGCACAGACTTTCCTGCCTCTGTTAACTTACCCTAGACTATCGTCGATAATAATTTCTGTGTATGCCAGTGGGAACCATCCGGAGCTCTGTGTGCGCAGATTCTCCCCAAATTGCCAGCCTTTCTGACGATCTCCTAATAAGGTAGTAGTTTCGTGAAATAGAAATAACCATTTACGGTGCTTATTTGTGCTTGGGAGGGTGGTGATGGTAGTAGTAGTAGTAGTACCGTGGTCGATAAAGGGTCGCGATTTCAAAGCCTCGATTCATGTCGGAAATATTACGCAAAGATGCGAAATGTAATTTCGGCAAGTCCCGTCGTCGAATTCTCTGTTCAAGTCTTCACAGTCAAACTGTCACAACTGTTGCACAGAGTGTTTCGAATGTTTCGAACAAATGAAGCAAAGCGAATGTCGTTTGACTGAAAAATTTTGTACGTCAGAGCTATTTCGGAAGATCGCGCTATTCGAGGTAATGAAACTACACGAGATTATATGCTTGAGAAGAATGAAAATTCTCTCGTGGTCGCAAATCGTGTTGTATCGTGCAAATCCGGCGTGTTACAATTTTTCGCGCGTTCCTCCGTTTCCAGCGAGTATAATACCCGTGGCTGTGGCACGGTTATTAGGATTTATCGCGTAAACGAATTCCGAACGTGTCTGGCTAATCTGACGGGGAAACTGCGTTGCGGTCAGACAGGGGAATATAATTTCACGGGGAAACAGACGCGTATCTGGGAAACGGGCGCGCGGTGCAAGCGTTCAGACATCCGGTCTACTCACCCATCAACGCGATGAGATCGCCCTCCAGGAAACTCAGCTGATTTTCCCCGGAGCTCAAATAGGCAAAGAGAGCTCTCGCGAGGGGTGCGTCCCCCCAGCCACCGGAGCTCACCCCTGTGCCGCTACCGCCGCCCCCTCCGCTCCCGCTGTTGCGTGATGCCGGAGGCGCCATGGACCGCGGCCTTGGTGGAGTTTCCGGTACCTCTGCGAAAATACGCAGGCAGGCGAACGATTAACCCGGCTCTCCTTTCTCTCTCGTAACTTGCACGTGGCGTGTTAGGGTATTAGAATCCTACAAAGTTTCGAGTGGCGAAGGATTTTAGTCGAGTTTCTCGAACTCCTCTCCCTCCCTCTCTGATTCTGTTTACGCGCGTACAATTGCAGTAGCGTTAGAGAAAGAATCACGCGGACGAGCCGCGAATTTGTCGCTGGCTCATCTTGGGAACAGAGAACATACATAGACACGCGCATACGTACGCGCTCGCGTGTGCAGGGAAATGGATAAAATTTCGCGCGAACGAAACGAGAGAGACGTACGCGTTTCACGAGTTCACCGTGATTTCACTTTACCGCGCTCTGTTGCCGTGTTCTCGGGTTAGAAGAATGGCGGTTGGCCAAAAACCATAACGGTTGAAACGAAGTGCTTATTTGAACGTTTTTATGAAGTTCTCGTTCTTCTTTTTTATCCTTTTTTTCTCTCTTTTCTTTTCTCTCTCTCTCTCTCTCTCTCTGCCTCTCTCCATTGTACAATCTATTTTGCTCTCGCATCATTGCCAGCGAATTTATGCGCTTGGCTTGCGTGCAAGAACGTTGCTTTGGGAAAACTTTTGCGCCACGGAGAGTGAAAAAGTTTCGCTTTATTCGACAGCCTGTTCAGTTCCAGTGGATCGAACTGTATTTTCAGACGCGTGAGAGAAGATGGTCGAATCGATCGAACGGTCGAGTGAGTCGGAAAAATGTTTGATAAATTTTAATCGCAGATACATTAGCTCTTGGGAGTCTTCGTCGTCGAACATTAATGAATATTGATTAATACAATTCCCCCCTCCTCTCCCCCTCTCTCCCTTCCTCGGAGAATAATGGGGAAGGTCGCAAAATTCTGAAGCGTACGGTGTACGGTCGACAAATGGAGTTCGATATTCGATACAGGGAACTCTCTCTCTCTCTCGGCTCTCTCCAACTGTTTTGCAAGCACTTCTCCATCCGATCGTGTTGCACGCGTTTGTTACGTGTTCGAGCCTCGACGTCGACTCGTTGGAAACGTACTCGACCATTGGCTTTGGCTGAAATAAAAAGGACTGTGGTGTCGTGTTTTCGCATTCTCCGTCACCACGTAGCGTCTGTAGCGTTAGCATTACACCGAACAGTCGGGATCCGACTGAAATTTTCGATTTCTGTTTAGTAACTCCTCTGTAACTCCTACGCCGGCATTTTTGATATTCACGAGATATGAAAATTTCCTCGCCGTTTGGAATGAAATCTCGCGTTTATTCACCTCGGAGATCTCGGATGGGGAATTCAATGGAGGAGGAAAGAAGTGAGAGAGGGCTAACCTGGATCCAGTGACAATGTCGAAGCGTGCAGATTGGCTTCTGACCTTGCTCTAGACAGCACGGATGAAAGATGAGAAGTTGGACCTTGATAAGTGGCACTTGGCACATTTCCGGATGGCGGTCCAGGTCGAAGTTCCAAGCAGGAGCTGTCCATGCTTCTGGTCTTTCTCAATTGTGAGCTCATGGTCAGCTCCGAGCCGCCGTTCTCCTCGTCCTCCGGCCAAAATGAGACTTGCTAAAGCGAAAGAAAATGTTTTACATTGCAGATCCGCCGACCAGGTCGTTTCGTTTTTCCGTGTATCCGAAAATTTCTTTATATCTACAGATGTCTCGACTGTCGCACAATTGATTGATTGTTCGATAATTACTCGGAAATTGGAAATTAAATTCGGTGGCAGTCCAGGCAGAAATCGTGATACGACTGTTGCAAATGTTTCACAGCTTGGCGCGCGATAAAATTTCACGAGGAACGAATATACGATAACGAGAAAATATTCCAAGTATCACTCACTCTAAGCCTGGAAGCGAACATATCTTCCACGGATTGGGGTAAATATTCCCTGGTAGCAGCTACTTCGCGCCACTTATCAACCGAGGGATGCAGAGCAGCCAACGCGACCTCGTGAAAACTCGCATAATGTTTCGCCAAGGAGCACTGTCGCTCGAGAACAAAGCCGTACCTTCTTCGTTCCTGAGTCATGGCCTGAAAAAGAGCAGAGCAGAGACCCGATAGAGAGTGTGTTCGTGTTCATTCGTTATCCTCCTTTCGTTCGTTCGTGGGCTGATCTGACCGATCTATTTACGTCAACGTCGTAAGCCGATGTACGTAAATGATCATTGCCTGACGAATACCTCTCTCGGGCAAGATATCCGAGACACTCCGAGATCATCCCTGGTTTTTTAAGCTTTTTTTCTTTCTTTCTTTCTTTCTTTTTTTTTTTTT